GATTCTGCAGACTGCACACAGACAGCACATAGAAATAGAAAATAAGAAAAATTCATAGTTCGCTTCAGACTCAGTTTCCAATAGACTGAGTTTTCAGCATCCGTGGGAACGTCGCCACCCTGCAAAGATATAAGGCACAGATGCAGCTCCTAAAGCAGTGGGAGGTGAGTAGATCAGCCCTACAGCAAAGTGGTCAAAGACCAAAAATCTCATTCGCTGCACCCATGTTTCCCTCGTGCCAGGCCACGAGTTCCCAATTAGCTGTTGGTCGCAGCACGGCTGGAAAAAACCCTTCTGCTTCCAAGCAGGACTTAAACCTGGTACCCTCTGTTTCTCGATCACGATGCCTGCCTGCTTGGACGTGGTAAGTTGTGAGTTAAATTGCCCCACACACGTTGAATTCTTATGTCTTGTCTCTTTAGTAGTTAGTGGAGACAAAACTGATTCTAGGTAGTGGCTCTAACCTGTTCAGGATATCGCCAGTCCACTGTGATGGGTCTCCATTGGCCTTTGTGAAGCTAAACAGAACAGAACGTGCCAGATTCTTGGCATGTGCGACAATAGAGCAGCCGCGAATCGCGCCAGACACTTCTCCAATTGCATCGGAAACCTGCAGCAACGAAACAGGAGCACAGTATATGCCAGGACCGCCAGAAAGCAATTTTTGATTGGTCCGGGAGTAACATGGCATTTCACCCTCTGTGTATGGTATGGCAACTGGCAAGTATACATGCCCTCCGCAGTAGTTAACTGGCAAGTAAGTTACACTATGATGCCTGGTCCGGTGATAACCTGACCAAGCGGACCGGTTCCGGCAGGCCTGATATCACATTCATGTTCACAGTCGCAGCAGTGCACGCACACGTAGCACAGCCGGTCAGCCTCCAGACCGTGGCTCTATCAGCACTGGTGCCCTGGTGAGTACTAGTAACCTCCCAGCATTGAACTACACGCACTACTAGCACGAGGCCAAGGCAAACCGGAGCTGGAACCGAGTAGACCCAGGTGCTCGAAGTCCGGAGACTTTTACAGTGTGTGTTTGCCGAGCTGAAACTCACACTAGCCATGATCACTTGCCAGAATCCTGCTCGTGGATGGAAGGTATCTTGTCCAAGTTTGCTTTGAGGCCAGGCTCGATTGAACCAGGCCATCTTTCGATCCGATCTGTTTCTCTGGAGTTCGCTGATTTTTCATATCAAATTTTGGTGTCGCAGAGGGTGCTCTAAGTCCGTACTGCTCAGAGGTGACTCGGAATACACACATATTTCTGCTAATTGCTAACTTGCAATCCCTCGGTTACGACGAAAGTACCGAAACGATATGTTTGGCATGTGCCTCCACCAGTATTTCTTGCAAAAGCGTAGTTTGTTGCCGAAATGCAAGCTGTTTTTAGTCAGCTCAGAGAAGAAGCAGCTGCGCTGTGAAAACTGCGGAAAAACAGTGGTGGAGATGCCAGGAGTGTCAACCTTTCTGCAAGGATTGGTGGTTCTCTGTAAATTCTTCTCCTCTGGCCATTCTCAGCTCTAAGCTGGCTCTTGATGATTGAGTGAAGGTCTGTTTGACGCTGTGTCCGTTCGAAATCGGTCTTGGCAAAGTTGATTTTTGCATGAAATGTAACCCAATTTGTATTTCGTATTGACACTCGAAAACCCACTCGCATGGTATGGGACTTCTGCTTATCGTAGATCCCTGAAAATTGGTACGCGAGGAGAACATACCACACTATCCCCTCGATAAAATATTTGAGTCGAATACAATAAAAGAACATGACATTATGGGTGTACGAACTTAGGATACCATGTCCGGACTTCGAGCACCTGGGTCTACATTTACTGTACCGATCAGGCGCAGGCTGACTTGTCACCCCCCCCCCCCCCCCTCCCCACACACACACACAGTGCCACCCAGGCCTACGTGAATGGGGATTCCAGGGTGTTTGACAAGTTTGTCCACCTGTGTTCCCATAAGAAGTAACTGGGCTACTAACTACGCTGTTCTGTTCCCTATGGGGGTACGGGTCATGCTACATGTATCAGAGCTGAACATGTTTTCGAAGTCGACAGCATGTTACAAGGAAATTTCAAGTATCAAGCAAGGCTTCTACCCAATGCTGTACATAATGCATGTACTGGTCAGCAACAGCAGCAAGGCTTCTATACTTCGAGTGCACACACACACACACACACACACACACACACACACACACACACACACACACACACACACACACACACACACACACACACACACACACACACACACACACACACACACACACACACACACACACACACACACACACACACACACACACACACACACACACACACACACACACACACACACACACACACACACACACACACACACACACACACACACACACACACACACACACACACACACACACACACACACACACACACACACACACACACACACACACACACACACACACACACACACACACACACACACACACACACACACACACACACACACACACACACACACACACACACACACACACACACACACACACACACACACACACACACACACACACACACACACACACACACACACACACACACACACACACACACACACACACACACACACACAACAGAGCTTCCTAGACCGGCCTTGTTTACACTTCAAGTGTAATATGTATCAGAGTTCCACTGTATCTCTCTTCGGTGAGATCATGAAAGCAGCACAGCCAAATACATACACGGTCTACGGCATATCAGTGTCTGGTTAACTTACGGAAGACGAATTCAGCTCTGACGACTGGCGAGAAGACATTCCACACAAGTACTTGGGTGCATGGGTCAGCAAATCTTTCAGTGTGGTCGAGTTCCACACCTTGAAGCTGCCCAAAGCCATGTTCAGAGTTGGGAGCATGCTGTGAATCTGATCAATGGTCATCTTGGACAAAGAATCGCCGATCTTCTTCAAGCCATTCCTAAGGAAAGAAACAAGGAACGCCGAGAACTGTGGCATGAGAATATCTACAGTAGCGGTGGCGAGCACTTTACGACTACCCTGCACTGCAACCAGTAAGTAATCAAACTGTCAACAAGGACTGCATTGCAAATTGTAGTTCTCTGCGTACCATGGCGTAGTACATGATTCTACTTTTTTTAAACAACACAGTCGGCTTAGTTGGCTAGATAGCACAGTCAGTCAGTCACATACGCATATAACCCTAGCGGCCACAGCTACAGCCACAATAAATTAATGACAGCTTGCATGGGACCTGATCCTACTGGTGGGACCTACCCGTAGGACCATCATACACGGGCATGCTGTCTTCTAACAGATGTGCCGTGTTCTAACAGTTATCTACTACTAGTACTGTGTTGCTCAATGAAATCCAGTCGCGTCACTCAAGTACACGCCGGGCGATGCGCAGCCCTAGACCTGCAAACACTGGGCTGCGAAATCATCCCGGATGCAAGACGCAAACTTGAGTGACACGACTGGATTTCATTGAGCAGCACTGTAGTACAAGTAAAACTTGACTTGACCCTAATGGAATGAATGCTATCATTATTTTAAAAAAAACATCACATTGGGAGCCCCAACTCATCACAACCACGCGCTCTTCAGCGTGTTGGGAATGCAATGAATTGAAAATATGGCCGAAAGCTCTGTCGCAATATTTAGTTCTGAAGTTTTATTGGGAGCCCCAGACTTACTTGTTCTTTAAAAAGGATGGGGGTAGTTGCTTTAGGGAAGACAGGCTGAACGTAGCTAGTGCATCGCTGGGAAGCTCATTGAGTGTACTCAGGTCCCAGCCAGAAATCGGTCCCTTGAGCTTCTGAAAGCTGTCACCGAGTGCTGATGATAGGCAAGGAGATGATTTGGAACTCTAGGAAACAGAAAAAGGCAACAGCGAAGGAGTACATAGTTATATGAGCCGTATACTGGTGATGACCTGGCAATACTGAGGATGGGTGTCACAATGTCATTGTAATCCAGGGTGGAGTAGGACGGGGCGGGTAACAAGTTGAACCTCCACTTCTTCGTGAGTACCCTTACATACCCTACACACGTGTGCAACCAAGCGGATTGCTAGCTGTTAAGGACAGGTACAGGCATATCGAAGACTGAAGAAGCAAGTCCCCGTGCACTGGTATGTGTTCTAATGGGGAATTTCGGCGTGCTCACCAGACCAGGTAGCAGGCTTGTCAGCTGGGCAGCGCTGGTTATTCCCTTCTTCAGTGCACTGCAGGATACACCCTTGATCTTGTCAGGCTTCAGGTCTACGCTAACCTTTGAAGCATCGCACGAGGCCTGTTGACAAAAAGAAGTTGAAAGACAAACAAAGAAGATAAATCCTGTTTGCAACTTTCTCTCAACCTAATGAAAGAAGATGAATGTACTATAGTAATCCAATGCCAAAGAGAGTGAGTTGGCCGGCTAGAGAATAATCGACAAGTTGCGGATGAGATAATTTTAAATATAAATAAATCAATACGAGCCCATAGACCACTGTACGTGCGCTACAGACATGGACATGTGGACATGCATGTTGAATGAAAACAAACCTGGGGTCCACAGCAGTTCAAGTACGCAGTGATGGATAGGCTCTTGGAGCAAGTCTTCGTCTTGCCAAACCTACAGGGGATGGAGAGAGAGAGAGAGAGAGAGAGAGAGAGAGTAAGTTACATTTATAAAGACAGGTAAGTCTAACAAATGAGGACTGAGACCTCTGCAACAGGGTTTTTACGCCTGGAAGCAGGTGCATGATTTAACAAGCAGGTTGTCAGTCTAGATTTTATGCGCAGATGGAGAAAAAAATGCGCAGAATTTTTGTAATGAGATGAAAAGCAGAAATAATAAGAAAAGATGAAATGAAAGCCTGCTCACAACCCCGCCCAGCCGTGCGAACTGGGTATGGTGGATTAAGAACCCGGTTCAACGCTCGAGCAAACGCTCTCCACTCAAGGTGTTCACAGCAACTGATAGGAACTCATATGGGGAAGTTATAGAAAAGAAATAATAAGATAAAGAGAATAAATTTCAACGCACCTCAATAAACGGAGCGAGAGAGAGAGAGAGAGAGAGAGAGAGAGAGAGAGAGAGAGAGAGGGGGGGGGGGGTAGAGATAGAGAGACAGAACGGGCAGAAAGACAAACAGTCAGACAGTGAAAACATACAGGAGATCTATAATGTTCCTGAGCAAAATTTGGCAACTGCACGTACATGTACATTCAATGCCAGAACCTTTCACACGTCAGTGTGTACGATCTGAGAGGTACGCATGACCTCCTCAGCAGTAAACATGTGTTAGTAGTCAAACAGTTTGTCCGAACATGGCCAGACCAATCAAGTCGGACCGCACGCCTGCCTTCACCGCCTTACAGCTACACTATCTTACGGTTATACTCGCTTGCATGAGCTGGTCCGTCACTCTTCAAATGTAGCTCTACTACAGACCTCAGTGAACTCGTTGCTATACTGTGCAATTGCTATGCAAGTCAGTGTGCAATGATCAGGCAGACGTTTGCATCTGCTTCTCTGCTATTGCATACCAACATACTTCAAGTACATGTGCACTGAGGAATGCCAATAACATGTTGGCCAAGCAGCCACACGCGTAGCACACTTGAACTGACACGCCACTCAAATTCACAACATGGACTGTAATACAGTAAAACCTGTGACTAACGACCACCCCTTTGGGCCAGAAAAAGCGGTCTTTAGTGGCAGGTGGTCCTTAGTTAGAGGTTTGCACCGCACAACCATAATGTGAGACCGTGACCGTCCATGCCTGGCAAAGTGGTCTGTAGTACCAGGCTGGTCGCTAGTCACGGTGGTCTTTAGTTACAGGTTTTACTGTAGATATCACTCCTCCGCTTAGCTGCACAAATCCCACTGCTATTCAGAAGTGACTCAATGCATTACACCCTGTTTGCTCCTAATTATTTTAATTTACAAAAGTAGTACACATTGACATGCTGATACCTACCCAGGAATAACGCCAGTGGGAAGGCTTGGAAAGCTGGGAACTTGGATAGTGGGGAAGTTGATAGTAGGGACCTGAGGAACCTGAGGGAGCTGAGGGAGTTGAGGGAGTTGAGGAAACTGGCCTTGGGCGATTGCACAGAATGCTATGGTTCAGAAGCACCCGCAAAAAGACAAGATACAGTCATGTACATTGAGTCAATGTTCACGAGTTTGTCAGAGCTGAGGAGAGAGAGGGAGAGAGAGAGAGAGAGAGAGAGGGAGAGAGAGAGAGAGAGAGAGAGAGAGAGAGAGAGAGAGAGAGAGAGAGGAGAGAGAGAGAGAGAGAGAGAGAGAGAGAGAGAGCCGAAAGCTGACAGACTGAGAGAGAGAGAAAGAGAGAGAGAGAGAGAGAGAGAGAGAGAGAGAGAGAGAGAGAGAGAGAGAGAGAGAGAGAGAGAGAGAGAGAGAGAGAGAGAGAGAGAGAGAGAGAGAGGGGAGGGAGAAAGAGCTCTCTCCCTCCCCCTCATGCATTGCATGGGCATGTACACATACACGCCTGGAGTATAGAGGTTATGCAAATACATAATCAGTTGAGATGGTTTGGCGATGTCACAGGCACAGTGATGCACTAGCGGCTCACGATTCATACATAGCGCCCATAAGCGGTTCCGCTGACGCACGATGTATACATAGCGCCCATAAACGGTTCCGCTGATGCACGATGTATACATAGCAACTATAAGCGGTTCCGCTGACGCACGATGTATGCATAGTGCCCATAAGTGGTTCCGCTGACTCACGATGTATACATAGCGCCTATGCGGTTCCGCTGACTCACCGCCATGCCATCATGCGCAAGACCTTTATACATGGGTGTCGAAGCCGGCCCGGGGTTGGCCCGGCTTGAGCTGGACCAATGTTCTGGCTGATGTTCTGTGTCTCTCGGTCACTGGGGCTCACATATTGAATTTACTGCGGTTGTTATAGCATGCAAGCCTTGAAGGGTGGCAAATTGTATAATGATACATTGCAGGTTACACCCATGGTATACATTGCAGGTTGATGTTTTATTTTTTAATACTTAGCACAATGGAACCTGGGAATTACGGGGAACTGGAGCCTCAGCGGTTGAAGCCAAACACACCGTCACGCATGCACGGGCAAGCGAAACCCGTGCAACCCAACTACAGACAGTAAACACATTCTAGAACTACTCGATGGAGGCCGCCGTGATCGCGTGAGTCCCGAGCGGAGTATCTACTACTTCAAGTACTTGTCTTTAAAAAGTACTCCTATTACATGATTGTACTTCTAGAGTGAGCGGTTGGATTAACTACTACATGTAGTACTAAACTCTCGTGTCCCCAAAGTGCCTCTCGAGCTCGCAGTGTGTTTTCTACCGTTGGCGATTTTCGCTCTCTGCAATGCCAGTGGGCCCTCTCATTCGATATTCATCGACCGCGTTGACGTCGTTTATTACAGATTTACACTGATCAGGTTGGAAAGAAAAGAAACCGTAAAATTCTCGTATGGTTCAATAGTTTGAGGAGTTGAAAAGGGGAACGCAACGTTCTGGTTATCATGGCTGTGGCGAGTTGCACTTTCAGAACAGGATAAGAATAAGACACACTAGCTGCGCTTTGGATAGCTAGCTAGCGGACTTACCAAGGAGTACAAGTAGAGTCCTCATCCTCGAGCACACTGCACTGTACGACTCGAGTAGTGTAGGACGATTCGGTGATCAGCAAGGGGTGTGCTAGCGTGGGGTAGCCGGTTCTGCGCTGACAACGGCGGGTAACGATAGAGTGAACTCCGGCTACGCTAGTCCAAGTGAGATGCAGAAACGTCTTGCCACTGGTAGATGTACTGCACGTGAAGTGGAACACGCCGGATCGCGGACGCGGAGGCCAGCAAAACAGGTAAGGCTACCGACTACGTAACCGAGTACGGCGGTACCAGGCACCGACAGCAAAGAACAAGCTGACTGCAACTACAGTACAGTAAAAATAGGTGAGACCATACATGTACATTGCACATGAGTAGCTGTTTACCCAGTCCCAGGCCAGGACACCGACGTCGTGACGCTCCGTCGTGACAGGACACGAGCTAGCTCTCGATCCATGATCCAGTGCAGTGTCACCTCGCTAGCGCTGTACTGTAGCCTACGAAATGCAGGGTAGTGTTGCTGTACACTACAGTAGTAGTCTAGTGTAGTGGTTAGTAGTGTTTAGTAGTAGTGTTTACATAACAACAGGTGCAAGCCACTAGTATTCTCCTTTCCTTTTGCCATGGCGTTGGGATCAAACGCAAAAGACAGTGTGGCCGCGATCTTCTATGATTATGACTTGTGTTGTACTCTACCCTAGTAGATCTAAGTACTACTAAGTACTACTAGTAGTACGTCGCGGATTGGCAACTGTCACCATGTATGTTCTGGTCACGCCAGCATGCATTTCACGTGTCATGTTATAAAGAAGTAATGCCCTAAAAAGACAAGTTTCCATCAAGTAGGTGTACAGTCTTGAATACCTAACAAGGACTAGCTGTCCGGAGATTGAGTCTACATAATCATTGGCTACGCCATGGGGCGCCAGTGGCAGTGGGCCTTCCATGCCACTGCTGCTCGGAATGCGTTCCTTTAATAACAGTGACCATGGTGACATTGCATCTCGTGCCTGGACACATGGGTCAGTGGAATGACATCAGAACATGCCACACGCAAGTTTTAGTTCTGGCTCTATCTACCACTGTACTGACACCATGGACACTGGTGACAGTGAAGCCGCGAGTCTAGACTATAGTATAGTGGTGACGCACTAGGCATCGGGGCAATACTCGAATAGTGCAATACACTCAGTACGGAAACTCATCCCGCAAACCTATCCACATCGAGTCTTTAACAGTACAATTCACTACTGTCTAGTACCGAATAACTGGGGCTTCAGAGTTGAAGCCAAGGCCGTTCTGATTTTTCATGTAGAAACCTCGAAAGAGCGGAACCCCATGTAATATACGGGTTCCCTGCACATGGTAAAACTCTAGCCCAGTCGTTCTTCGGCGCCCTACTGACTACACTATTAGGGAGGTTTAGTTCCCACGTAACGGAAACGCGTACGTGGGTGATACACGTAAAGTGGATGAAGGGCATCCACGTTGCAATGTTGTGTTTAGTCACACGGAACAAACAAAAGCATGAAGCGAAAGGCCCAAACCTGGTCAAAGACGAAGCTACCCGGGCCTAAGAAGCTCATCGAATATTTTGATTTCGTGCTTCGGAAACTTCTTCAGCTGAGCACCCTCACAGCTCGCAAAATGCGCTCCATTCTGATTTTCACCCACGTTCTGGCGGAACGTGGGTGACCCTCCATACACGGTATGTCGTGAATCAGAAAACGTCTGTACGTGGGTCACTGAGTATCACGTGGTACACACACGTAAAGTACCCACGGATTACGTGGGACTAAACCTCCCTACTGTACTGTAGTGAAAGCCCAAAATTAATGATGACGTAATTGCATAAGCTACAGCAACGCAATACGTCATGTATCACCGTCATACACACACACAATACGATGATTTCTGTGGAAGCGACTTCGGGAAAGAAAGCTGGTTGCTCCCAATACTGGCGCTTGCACTCTTCCCACCAACTTGACTTGACCGACTCATGACTGCCATCCAGAGCACACAAGAAGTCCATCGAACCTTCGACTCGGCAAACCAACAAGATAGCACTACTCCCTGCTTGATACACGGCGTTTCGGGGAATTGGGCCCTCATCAGTTGAGCTTGAGTAGGCTGGGGAAGATTGTGCCTGAAGAACCTCTTTCATAGTGCTCTCCAGGCCAAAACATCACCAGAGGTACCAACTTACAAAGATGCTTCGTTTCCAGTGCGACAAACGCCTCATGAATACCAGATAGCAGCGCGAGACAATGTCGCTCATGGATGTGTAGGATTTTGGACGCAACAACGTTACGAATGGACAACGGTCCTCAAAGCTTCTTCTAGTCTGTCCCTCCGGGAAATCGGGATTTTGGCCCAAACCCGCGATTTCCCGCGTTTTTTGTTGTTTTCTGCACTTTGTTTTACATCTTTCTGCACTTTTTACGCAGTGCTTTCAATAGCTTCCGCGGCCTGTTCGTAGGGTCCAGCGGATAATGCCGGCATTATATTCGGCATTATACGACTATCCGAGCATCGGAGCATTAGAAAGGAACAAAACGAGCATTATGTAAGGTTTGAGCGGCATGACGAGTTTCATAGTGGATAATATCGGAAAATCCCAGGTTTTTGGCAACAATCGGCTACAATCATGATCATGAGATGTTGTCTGATGATTGGTTTTTGCCATGAAACTCTGAGTGACAACGAAACAGCCCTATTTTACTCCTTTTTGTGTACCTCTTGCGTACTACGCTCCGCCCATTCCGGGCATTTGAGCACTATGCATTGTACTGGCGCATGACTTTGTGATTGTGTAGACATGTAACACCTTTAGCACTAACGCTACATAACTATTGCTACATAAAAACGTTATGATTGTAGCAATGTGGTCAGGTAAATGTATACAAGCCATTTGTGAAGCATGCCCAGCCGAGGCCGAGGCAGTTCAAGTGACACAAATCTGGAGAAATTATTTACGAGGTTTCTTTTACTTTTAGAATAATGGAGAGCTATGGAGACATACGCGAAGTGAATATCAAACAGACGAAGAAGAGTTTTCTAGTTGTGCCAATGGCTCTGGCGATAGCATCTCTAGCGATACTGAAGTAGACACTGATGCATTGCTAAATTTGGACCAGGATGAAGGAGCGGCTATAAACAGAAAGAGCTCGTTCCAAAAGAACTACCTTTGCCGAGTCCAGCTCAGGAGGCTCGAAAAGAACTAGAATTTCTCATAGACTCAGCACCAAGTCGATTGCTCAGCAGCGCCTGTCTTACTTTCCTGATGAAGCACGTACAGTTAGTTGTGGACGGTTGTAATGCCAGGCCTACAGTCAAATGCTATCAGAAAGGAAGAGTATTGTGGCAAGCCATACGTCTACACACCATCTCAAGGAGAAGATGAGAGCATAAGCGAAGGATGTAGAGTGGCAAAATAACTTCTGACCACATGTTTTCAGGATTTCCACAAATGGGAGGGCTCTCCATCTGAGATCGGATCTCAGGAGCTGGCCTCACGTCTGGTGTTTCAGATGAAGACATTATTCACAGAGTGGACGCAGAGACAGCTTGTCTGCAGGCAGGAATACTATTTGCCAAGATTAACTTCATCCCAACAATGAATGACTACCTGCAGTAATGGTTTCATCTCTCACTACATGGATAATTAGGGGAGGGATTTGATACACCGACTATTCTGCCACAACCCTGCATCAAAGTTGGAATGGAGAGCAATCAATGGAGAAGCAATTTTGTCTTATAGTGCTAAGAAGTAGTAGAGCTCGTGAGAGATAAGGTGGCAACTTCAGATGCAGATCGACGATATGCATAATTTCCTGGAAGTTTGACAATGTGCAGACTTTCCTGGAAGTTTGACAATGTGCAGACTTTCTTCCATTTTTGTCCCAAACCAAGAGCATTATATCCCTTGCTGAAGCATTATAATCAGCATTATAAGGCAGTTTTTGGAGCATTATGGTTAGCATTATACGAACATTTTCGGAGCATTATCCGCTGGACCCTACCTGTTCGGCTGCGGCATTACTTAGGCGCGCTCTGCCAACCCCGTTCACACCACCAGCAATGCGACTCCAAATTGTTGCAGATACTGGCATAAATTTCTCCACGCAGCTGTTTCGATCATACACGGATCTCATCAGTGAAGGTTGTATACTGAATGGTCAAAAACTTGTGAATAGCTCTTTTTATGCAGAGTATAATTGTGAAAATGAAATCCGGGCATAATGATCGCGCTTTGAGGTATTGTACTTGTGCACAAACACACGGTTTAACGTTACTTCGTCATGGCACAATACCAATAGACCATCCCACATGCACTCTGAGTCTGAAGCAGCCCGACCTTCACTCTTCAGGCGTTACCACCCGTTTGTGCTGCGACAGACCATGCCATGCCACGAGATGGGCGACTAAACAATTACCGGTCAGGGGCGTACGCAGCATCTGGAATGAGGGGGGGGGGGGGGGGGGGGTGCTCCAACCTTTTCCCGAAGAACTGAATAATGCATGATTTCTGTGCGTTTGATACATGGAAGGTTGATATCTTGATTTTTACTTTTAGTGCGCTATTTAAACATCCAAGTATTTACCATGATACCAAGTCGAGGGAAAATGTAGGACCTGTTCCGTAGGATGGAGCAACCATGACTTTCAGAACACGACAAGAATAAGACACACTAGCTGCACTGACTGTGGATAGCTAGCTAGCGGACTTACCAAGGAGTACAAGTAGAGTCCTCATCCTCGAGCACACTGCCCTGTACGAGTAGTGTAGGACGTTTCGTTGATCAGCAAGGGGTGTGCTAGCGTGGGGTAGCCGGTTCTGCGATGACAGCGGCGGGTCACGAAACTCGATAGAGGGAACTCCGGCGACGCTTGGTCCAAGTGAGATTCAGAAACGTCTTGCCATGGTAGATGTACTACACGTGAAGCGGAACACGCCGGAGCCGAAGACCAGCAAAACAGGCTACCGAGTAAATCTACGGCGGTACCAGGCACCGACAGCAAACAACAAGCCGACTACTCGTACTGTAAAAAATACTTACGTGAGATCCGTGCTATCGTCGTTTTTTCCCCTAGCCTAATTTAGGTGATGTTCGACATGTGCCCATAACTACATAAGTAGTGGCACCACTTAGCATGTCGTGCATGATGGGCAGTGGTGGGCCACTGACGGCACGGTGGAATGACATCAGAACATGCCAAACGCTTCCACAACGGCACAAGTAACTACCGGTAGTTCCAGTTCTTGCTCTACCAGTACTGCAGTAGCCATGGTAGCGCTAGCGAGTGGTGGTATTATTAGTAGCCTCTACTAGTACTATCTGACTATTGTTAGATTGACAGCATGAAACAAGGACTTAGGTGGAATACTGGTTTTTAACCAGTGTTAGGTTATTATCATACTCATACATATGAGTCATAGCCTCTACTACTACTACAGTAGTACTAGTACCATGTACCAGTGGCAGTAGAGTCTAGTGGGCTACCACTTTACCTGGGTAGTATTCATGGTATTCGTAGCGTTCTTTGCCGCCCCACTGCTGACTACACTGTGTGTCTGTAGATCTACTGTACTGTAGTGCCTACCGACTTGACACTTGACTGACCCAGGGTTGCCATCCAGCACACAAGAAGTCCATCGAACCTTCGACGCGGCAAACCTGCAAGATAACACCACTCCCTGCACTAGTACTGTAGTCTGTAGTAGTACACAGTGTTTCGGGGAATTCACACCTCATCAGTTGAGCTTGAGCAGGCTGGGGAAGATTGTGCCTGAAGTCAGTGAAGAGCACCACTTTCACACTCAGTGCTCTCCACTGACTCCAGGTCAAAACATCACCAGCCTGGCAGGGATACCAACTAACAAAGATGCTTCTTCATGAGTAGATCTAACAGATAGCAGCGCGAGTCCTCGCTAGCATGGACGTGTAGGATTTTAATTTTATTTTAATTTTATTTTTTTACTATTGAACACTCACTGCACGATGAACTACAATGAGGAGGAGAACTCGGCACAATGGTTCATATCCAGCAGGACGGAGTGGGTGGGACCTGTGAAGCTCAGCCGACCAAGGGTCTCGGACTCTCGTCATCACAGCTGCACATGTGCACCAAAGGAAACAAAATGGGGAGTGGAAGGGCGGGGAGCAGGAGAGCAAGAACTATTTATCGCCGCATAAGCAGTCGCGACAGAGACTCAGAGGTGTTTTGCGGCGCTGGAAATGGAGTGTCTCTGTAAGTCTGTTTCCTGGTGATGTTTCAAGTTGGCCTGGAGAGCACTATGTAAGTGGTGCTTTTAGGCAATATCTTCCCCAGCCGACTCAAGCTCAAGTTGCTCAACTGATGAGAGGTGAATTCTCCAAAAGGGAAAACACTACGTATCGAGCAGGGAGTGGGGCTTTCTTGCAGGCTTGTGGAGTTGAACTTGAAGGTTCGATGGACTTCTTGTGTGTTCTCGATGGCAGTCGTAAGTCAGTCAGGTCAAGTCGGCGGGAAGAGTGCAAGCTCCAGTGGTGGGAGGAACATACTTTCTTTAATATAGGCACGGTTATGGCACAATCCTAGTGGTGAAACAAATACCCAAACCCAGTAGCCGAATATTCTTTGGCCTCATGAAAGAACGAACGAACGAGTGATAACTCGTTACTTAAAGGTCCTTTCCCTTTACATAATACCAAGAGTACATAAAATGTACTCTTGATAATACTATTGGCTCAACATCCGAAAATTCTTTTGTTAACACGGAAGACATCAACCGACGATTTTCTTCCGGATGGCGAGGGATCCGGATAAGCGAGGTCTGACTGTAGTGCCACATAACATGAACAACAGAATTTACTACATTTGATACTGCTACTTTGAAGTACAAAGTCATACATGTACATGTTATGTACAATATTGGCAGTCCAGTATCTGCATAACATGTGCGCATGCAACATGAAGTTACAGGGCAGGCTGTGCGCACTGCACTGCACAGTGCTGGGCATGGCACTGCATTCAAACCTCAAAGTGACATGATGAATATTCGCTGTGAGAAATATTCGTTCGAATGTGACAGACTGAACGAATATTGGAATATTCGGTATACAGTAATCCATTTCACCACTACACCAAACTAAAACGAATATGGCACAAACACTTCAACATACTTGTAAGAATAGCCATCAACATAGCGAGAATGCTCCAGTCAAATCAATATAGAAAATAAACGAAGATCTGAAAGGCAATGTACTCGACTCCTTGTTGGTCTGGTACTATTGTGTGACACTACATGTATAAAAATGCCAAATCTGTCGCACAGTATCCTTGTTTAGCGTAGAGGTGATCATTGAGTTGCTAGAGGCATGCATTGTTCTCGCT